ACCATCGATCTGGAGGTCATCTCTCGGGCGGTGTACGTTCTCCTGGAGCCAATTCACATGTGTTTCTGCTCCAACGATGGTCGTTCTTTTTTTAACGTGTCCTGTCCACTGCCACTTTCACTTCTTCACTCATCACAGACTCTCGCACTTGCACTCATCCGTTCATTTCGATTCCTATCTTCGCTTGTTATGCCTAAAACGCATTTGTCCATGCAGCGTTGCATAACCTCCAGTTTATGAATAGCTCTCAGGTTTGTGATCCACGTTTCGCCTCCATATATTAGCATTGAGAGCAAACACTAATCGAAATCTTTTCGCTTGAAGCGCAAAGACAGTCTTTTGGACAGGAGCATTTACGGTCTTCCAAAAGTACTCCATATCACTTTTACCCTATTGTTGAATTCACTCAGTTAATAAGTCTATGAACTTCCACAGATTGTGGGATCAGACTCTGTGGTAGGTTCATTTTCGTCTTGCTTTAATGCTAGCATTGTTCAGCTGCTGGATAGATTCTTAGATTTATTCTAGTGACATGGAGTGTTTGAACCAAAATATGTAGCATGATTAACTTATTACACATTAGTTGTTTGCTATACGATAAATATGGAAGGTTTCCTTTTTGGTTGGTCGGCAATTTGTCAGATGATTATCTAGGAAAGTTAGATATAAGTTTTAGTTTACCAGATATAAGTGAATGAAGCTCGAGGTAAGACATGAAATATTAGGCATATCGTGTTAAGATTCCATTCCAAAGCCAGTCTTCAAGGGTGAGAATTAAGGGGGAGGGCGGTTGAGGCTAAGGCTTACTCATATGTAATGCCTTAAAATGCCAGGCACTGACATAACTGGATCAGCTGCTACTAACTTGGAGTAATTTACTGTTCAAGCTTTGTCAACCTTAGGTAAAGGCGAGAGTAAAACAGCTAACGGTAGAAAGAAGAGGACATGCGGGTAAATGCCCAATCACTAATCTGGTTATAGAATGAACTCTGTGCTGATCGACCGTTCACTTCAGTCCAATCCGGAAGAACCGATAAAGTCTAAAAATCTGAAAAGAAGCTCAAGACCATGAGTTCGTAGCGAATGACAGAAAGCCGATAAAAAAGTGACATAGGGGCATTCTACGAGGGTTTCCCCAAACCCTTCTGAACAGTTTACTTCAAATTGCATTCAAGTAAAACGACCAAAATCGTTTTTCTGATTTCCTCTCGCATGACAGCTTGAATCTGCATTTGAAGCAGTTCTCTGAAGAAATAAAGTGGTCCTGAAAGTAGTAGACTTTTCGAGAGTGCATTGATCACAACATAGAAATACGTCACTTTTAGATGCGTGAGGGAAGACAGCATAGAGCTGCTATAGCCATACTAAACTGGGTTGTTGTACTCCTTCAAAAACAATGCGAAATACAGCGATATGGCTGAAACCCTTAGGGTTAAATTTTATCAGAGTTCCCTACAAGGTACACTAAACTGAACTATCAGTGTCTTATGTCCTAAAATGCATAGTGTTAATTCGAAATGATCGTAACCACGCACATAATCAGCAAATAAGCTATTCTAAAAGGCAGACTGCTCTGGCAAGAGTAGAGACGCTTACCAGCCATGTGAAGACACTGACGGTACCGCTAGTTATCGATATTATCGATACCGCAGTGTAAACCCGGTAATTAGAGAAAAATGTTATTTTTCTTAGCGGTGGTACTGATAACTAGAAGTATGCTAGTAAACCGATAAGATCTGTTTATTTTTATGCATAAATATGCCTGCAGACAGTGACATATCAGCAGGTGTCCGAACAGGATTTATTTTTGGCCCTAGCCAGTGATGCGGATTTGCACCCAAGCATTGCGAGTGCTAGAATATCATAATACCATGGAGCTATGGTCTGCTTAAATGGTCCCTTAGCCCGCTAAAAGGAAGGCCACCATGCCTATACACCGTGTGGATCCGGCAGTAAAAGAAAAATTTTATTATTTGTAACGACGGTATTTTATTATTTGTAACTAGTAGTATGCTGATTAAGCGATAAGATGAGTGTTTAATTTTTTGTGAAGATTTCTTTATTTACATTTTTTCTAACGCAGTCTTATTATTTTCTCAACGTGTAACGGGATGAACCTAAACCCTGTCTTTAAAAATTGAATGGAATGTGTAACGCTATTATCCTCCAAACGAACTGATCATTATATCATGCGGCACGGCTACATCGATGCTCAGAGTAAAGGGATAAGGGGGACAAAAACGACCCGTTTTACTATGCTAGATGTGGTGGAAGTTGCAAATAGAGATAACGGAGCTTAACGATTTTCGGCAGTTGTTATGTCGAAGAAGAAATGAAAAGAAGTATAACATGGAATAGAGCAGAAGAAAGAAGATTACGACGAAAGCAAAGGGGATAAAATAATTTTCTTTGACCACCTCTATTCATGGATGTTTCAGGCATTTCTAATGGCCCATTTATCCAACAGTGATTAATGACTTTTAAATTAAATTGTATTTTCTTTCCAAAGATTTTATTATTTTTAGTGCTGTGGTACCATCAGACCAAGTGGGGATTTTGACCCAAAGCAGGATGCGGAAAGCTTGAAAAAAGCGATGAAAGGAATGGGTAAGTTTAGGTTATTTTTGCTTGAATCTGTGTAACAGTGAGTACTTTGAAAGGTACCAACGAGAAAGAGATCATTGATATTTTGTGCAAGCGATCGAACGCTGAAAGGCAGCAGATCCGCGAAGAATTCAAAAGCCTTTATGGGGAGGTATGAATCATTCATGTGGATGGTAAATAACACTTCGAGATTTGATCGTGTTTCAGAGCCTCATCAAGGAGCTAAAGAAAGAACTCTCTGGAGATTTCGAAAGTCTCATAATAGGCCTGATGTATTCTGAACCTGAGTACGACGCCAGAACATTGCGCAAGGCCGTTCAGGTAGAAGAAACTCACGGTCAAATTGTTCGTGGATGCTTTAAAGCACGAATTTTACTGTTAGGGCTTAGGAACAGACGAGTCGGTTCTAACTGAGATTTTGGGCAGTCGGACGAACACGGAAATAGCCGCAATCAAAGCGGAGTACTACAGATGTAAGTGACTGATGTTCCTTCTCTCGTTAGTAGATTAATGCTCTGATAATGAATATTCAATTAGTCTCATATACTTCTGTCAAAACGTACAGTAGATTATAATAACAATAGCAGTGGAGTGAATTAAAAAATTTCCTTCAAAAGATCCACGTTGTTCGCATGAAAGAGCGTCACGCACTTCTTAAACACTTTCTGTGCTGCAGGACAGTTACAAACTTGATTTAGATAGTAATTTAAAAAGGCAATTAATTCAGACTAGACACACAGGTTTAATATTGAAGGATTCGTAGGCGTGTAATTAGCAGATGAATAAAATTGTGGGAAATCATATTCAGCTTTGTTCCTTATTTACCCCAGATATTGGAGAGTTTAAAATGGTTCATGTCTCTGACGGATTTCAATTACTGCACTCAAAATTCGAAAAACCCTTTGCGGAAAGACACCGCATATCACGCAAAGTTATTACAGACGTATTCTCTAATGTTTCGGATCATGCTTCGATCATTCTTCCAATAGAAATATGGTATGACATGAGAATGTTACAGTATGCATCGGTATAGTCAGGCATAAGCTTCACTATGGAGGATTTATGGTGGAAGCAGATTCATGACTTCGTTCCACCGGGAACTTAATTCAGTAGCAACACATTTGTTCATACATTGGTTCGATTGAGTTACCAGAACCTCGTTTATCTTCTGGCTTAAAAATTTCTCTCGATGCATTTCTTTCAGTTGGTTCCATAGTACGCAATGTTGTTCTTGTATTAGTTAGTATACTCTTCATTATTCCTTATATTGTATCGTTTTAGTGTTTGGTGTCGAACTCGAAGAAGATATTCAATCTGATACATCTGGTGACTTCGAGAAACTACTGGTTTCACTCTGTACGGTAAGGACTTAATTTTCTCAATTCTGTATATAAATTTGAAGCCTAGTTGTAGCAATTAATAAATGCTTTTAAGTTGTGCAAAGGAAAACTATTGTTTTCTAGCATCAGAGACACTCTACTCTTTCTGAGGAAGATTTGCCACTTAGTTCCGCTCGTAAACTGCTGATAGTCTCCTGAAATTTTCAACAGTCATAATCTTCGTGGAAGCCGCCACGGACCAAATTGAATTTTTTGGGTATTCTTAGACCTGAAGGTTACTTGTTGTCAACAAATTATTAGTTACTTAATTTTTTTCACTCATATTCGCTGTGGGAAGGGAGTTTTGGTGCTAAAGATCTAGCCTGAAACGTTTAAAACATCAGGTTTGTTTCGGTTAGGCAGACATTAAATATCTGATATGATTGTTTGACGTTCTTACTGCTGTTCCGACCGCCACTACCGATGGTTTAGCCAGCTCCAGTGACGTCTCGGTTCGTTGCTTTACTTCTCTGTTGATAATGCGCAATATCCATCAGCACGTTCAGTCAGTCCTTTTTCTGTTATTGGCGTCCGTACACTGCTGGCTCATACACGACTTTCACATGCATTCTCACAATGTCCCAGAGAGTCTTAACTTGCTCTTCCTCTTTTCCCGTGCCATTGAGGAGGAACCAGAGTGAAGTTCAATGTAATGGATGTGATGTGATTAAAGGATTTTACTTTCTTCACGTCTTTGACTTTTAGGACCCAGTTCTCTCATCCACAGAAAGGGTGCAATGGATGGTTGTCTGCAGAACTTCTTCTTCAGACAGATGTTCCGTCGTCTCCATAGTGACTTGCAGGGCCGGAAGAAGCATTCCAACGCCCTACTGCGAAGTGCCGACACATTACAGGCCACAAACGATAGAGCGAATATTCTAACTCCATCGCCATAGTTAAGAATAATGTCGAGTGATTTCATTCAAGCACCGCCGTCTCACAGCCATGATACTGTTCATCTGCATACCCAGTTCAGTTCAGCTATGCAGATGGATGATGAACCATGTCTTGGTTGCAGGGAATACTGCATTATCAATAAACTCAGTTGTCGATGTTCTCATCGTCATCGAATTGCAACTCATGGTGTGCGATGTCGAAAAGCGTTGGTGAATAAACGATTTTACAACATCTTAATGACGTGTGGTTCGAAGCCAGGAGTCAAGACATGAAGAGGCAGAAGAAGAGACAGAAACGTTTGGTCCTCTCCTTTTCCACACCCCTCTTTCCATCGTTGTTTCTTTTTCTTTCTGCTTTGCTTCCCAAGGTCCATTCGCATAGCTGATCCATAAAAAGTGGTTTGCCGATCTCAATACGCACAGGAAGGTGATGTTTATTTCTTTGAATGCACAGTGCAAGCAGACTTCTAGCAACCACAAATAGCACATTATACCCAGCGGAATCCAACATAATACGAAAACCTGCTTTGTCCAGAGCATGATCATTATTCATTTCACTTCTGGAGCTGATTCATTGTTTAGCCTTTGACGAAAGAAATAGCGTCAATGACATTAGTACAGAAGAGTCATCAGCGGTTGCTGTTTCTGCAGCGTGCAGTCTTTTGCATTCCTCCGGTAAAGTACTTTTACAGGACTGGCAACCGTTCTCAGGATTAGCTGTTTCTAATGGCTGATTGGCTTCAGAAGTCCATATAAAGTACTAGCAGTACCGTTTTGATGTAACAGATTGACAAGCTGATTTTGGAAAGTGAGTAGGAAGCAGACACTGGGTCTGAAAGCTTGAATTTGTACGCCCTTAATTTGTCAGAAAAAGAGAATAAACGGCTGAGAGCTAGTGCAAATACAGTGGATGGATGAATAACCATCAAAACCTTAGGCCAACCACTCTCAC